CCTACCGTAGCAGCCATACACTGGCAGTGGGATTTCTTTAGTTACTGTAAGCCGAGCCTTAAATAGGAAAAAAACACAACTTTATGTGTCATTTCCACACAAGCTATTATAGAATTGAAATTGCATGATCACAGAGGGTTGCTGCCATTCAGTGCGTGCCCTCCCTGTTTATAAAAATGCTGCAGAGCATAACTAAAAATACCAGTATCACACCAGATACTGTACTCTGCAATCCCCCCCAAAAAACCCCCCCGGCCCCACCTTTCGGCCTGCTCAGCCTGGCTGTTACACAAAAATCTGACTTCCGTATGAGTCGGCTGCAGCTGCAGTTTCCTGTCCATTAACCCTGTAGGACTTGGCACTTTTTAAGATATAACACTAGGCCCTAAAAAGATATCGATTTCTCTCCGTGGCAAGTTATCTGCCTACTTTCACAAGAACATTCATATAGCTTTTCAGATGTTTTTTTGCTTTATCTTTTGTCTTTTACTAAAAATCTGCAAATGAAACAAAATGAGAAAACGACGTGTAAGCAACCAGTTTGATCTTGGGCCAATTCCCAAGCATTTGATTAAAAATGTGATTCAGTTCTCTTCCCTAATGCAGTGAAAGTGGGAGGATTTATTGCTATGCCAGGAAGGAAGAAAGTCTGAACTTTGGATGAAGATTTTAAATGTCAAATCTTTAGAAAGGTCCCAACAAGCCTTTATATTTTTGTTCAAAATTTTGCAACTGTATGAGGTAGCTCGGCGTTATCATTCCACAGCCATCAACAAATTACAATGGAAACTGTAGATGAAAAGGTGATTCTGAAGCATATTGCACATTATCAAAGGATAACTTATTAAAAAAAAAAAAACCAAATGTAGTTGTAGAGGGAGAGGTTTAATTTAAAACAATAATTATTAAATAATGAGCTTAAATAACCAAAGCAAAATAAACATTCTTCCAATACAGCATGCAAGATCTAGGATTGTGCAAAAACGTTTACAGAAAACCCTCTCCCATAAATCAAGACCAGTTGTAAATAGAATATGCCCTTCACTCTACCTTCACTCCAGTGCTAATGATCCCAGAAACAATCACCACAAATAACACCAACGCCCTCCCTCAGCTCCAACCAGCACCCTTCACGATATAACTACTTTACCACACAAACATCTTTGCTTGGGAGCCAACATGACTCATAACTATGCAACTCAGTAAAATTAATAATCCTACTCTGCATTGTCCCATACTGCATTCAGATTATTTCTTGAGATATCATTGTCACAGGAAGACTGCCAAACCACCCTATCACTGTGCTTACATTTCTTGTGTTCCTGTATTTTAGGCTGCAACAGCAGATTAACAGCCCAGAGTATAAATTCTCATCTCATAAGTAATTCTGGAGTCCCTGCTGGAAGCATTTTCCCTTTTTAGCTTTGGCAACGTTTTTCAGGGCAGGGAGCAGGAAGACTCATGGATTACACTGGCAGTTTGTTCTCTTTTAGGAATGTAGCAGAAACTAGAGAGAGTGCTGCTAAAAAGGGAATCGTACAGCCCACTACAGCAGCAGGAACACACTGGAAATGTTTGACATTCAAGTGCATAATTGCATTAGTTTTAACAGTTCAAACCATTCAAGATAGGTTTATTTTTAATTGCATACCTAAAGGCCTATGCCACTTGGAGGTATCACCCTCCCCAAACACACAAACATCCACGTTTTGATTCCTCCATGCAGTAAATGTGAGCATTGTCAGTCATTAAGATTTATACTCATTGTTTGACTGCTCAAATCCAATATTATTTTCTTCAAAAACAACCACAAAACAACAAACTAGTCTCTATGAAGGGAGCAAATCTGAATACACTGAATTTGTCAATGCTTTGTGCTAACCAAGATTCGACTCTGGGAACGCACTAATGCTGATGGTGGCTGGGAACACTGCCAAACTGACACGCTTGGACCTATCAGAGAGTATCAGCATGCAGCAGATAAATAGAAGCAGAAGCAGCCTTAGAAAAGGCCTCAGGTCCTATCCTCTTGATTCAAGAAAACGGTGGCCCAAATGCAAAAGAAAAATTTATAAACCCTCAGTCATTAGTAAGAACAAAAACTTAGAAAATCTATCAGAAGGTAACATTTGTATTCAACAACAAGGCTACTCTGCTAAAAGAGACAAAAGAATTCCGTCACGAATCAGAAAGTAAAAGCTTTATTTTCTTGTCCATACACATATTGTGCAACAGGAGGTACAAGTCTGTTATAATGACACACAGGTACATCTGGAAAATTCAGAAGATTTTGTCTTTTAAGTCCCAATGATTGTGTGTCCTATTGCAGCTTGACCCATTCTTTTAAATAGGAGTGGTGAAATTTTGGGAGGGGGAAGGGAAAGAAAGGTAAAGAAAACAAAGAAGAGAGATAGGGGAAGCTAAAAGCTTTGTTAAAGCAGAAGAGAGGGTGGAGAGATTAGATTAGCCAGTATTTGTCCTTTCAATGCTTTGGAGATGTAAAGGGAAAACAGGGCCGCGAGGCAGGGAAAAATAAAAAAAAGGCTAAAGAGAAACCAAAGGAAAGATGGAAAGCACTAATTCAGTCAAAAGGAAATTAAAAGACAACAATGTTAGAAATGCAACCTACTATATTTCAATTTCTTTGCAAAGAACTGTGCCCGCTGTGCAGAATCACCAGAGAGCTGGCACACGAAGCCCCACAGTGTTGTAAGGGACTGTGCTACTAAAGATACACTGGAAGCCTAAAAATTAAACAAATACCAGTAAGGGATTTGTCTGTATGACAGAAACATAAGTTTTGATACGTACCTCTGTAAGAGGTGAATCATCATGACAGAGAGGGAAAAATGATGGAGAAAAGATGAAGTTTTAAAAATAATATTTTTAACAGATACACAAAAGGAAAGGGGGAATGTCATATTTTCCAAGGATAATAATAATAATAAAAAGCAGGGGGGAAAAGTTGCACTAGGGGCTTGTAGCTTGGTCCTGGATTTCCAAGTCGTTGACTGACAACCCTAATTTCTAGAACAAGAACATGAAACATTGTAATTCAGTGTCCTTCCTTTTAAGAGGTTTCTTTCCCACTTTTTCCCCTTTATCCTGAATCTGCCAAAGTATCAGCAACTGCTTAAGGGTCAGAAGATAAGACAGCCATCTGATACAGAATCAAACAATAAAAGCCTATAAAGGCAGTTCCCAAATTTTTAAAAGTAGGATAGATGTTAAAATTAGTGACCTGCCTAAGAAGGCTGGTAATCTTGTAAATCATCAGAATACTGGAGAATAAGTTTATGCCAGGTTGGTAGGTCCTTTGCCCATAAGCTTAAAGGCTCTGTGGCCAGGTGCACGCATGCATTTGTCCTTCTGAGCAGTATCTCTGAATACTTTTGGTTTACATTACTTGTTCTGGATCACAATTGTCACTCATTCATTGTCTGCAGATTAAAAAGCTGATTTTGTTTATAATACACACTGAATAACTAGTGCATTATGAAAATTTCTCTTGACAGCTATTTTTAGTATGCTGTGCAACTGCTTCATGTACATTTCCTTCTAAAGGAAATCGCCATTCACGTTCAATCATTGACCAAAAATACCTGAAAAAAATCACCCTTAAGCCCTTTAGCAGCTGTAGCTTTTTAAAAGAGGTGCCACAGCCTATGTTATCTTAAGGTATAAGCCGATATATTTCATCCCTTTCACACCCAGTTTGAACTAGTCTCTCCAAGATTTAACAGCTGGGAGCTGGGCCATTGGATATCCTGTATAAGACAGGATTTTCATAGGTATATATTTAAATTATATCCTCTATATTAAAACCATAATAATTTATTTTATATTTCATACACAGCAATGTATTTTTTCAGTTACCTGGAAAGCAGCTGTGAGACACATGCAGATATACTGCATGTCAGACTGAAAACATATCCACCATGCAGTTGAACTGCAGCTGTGTAGCAAGTGGATTTATCGTGCCTATGCTGTGGTAACACAGCAATGAATCCAGCTCGCTGCGTGTGCAGGGTCTGTGGCTATGGGAATGTCAATAACCTGCATGAGAACATGGTACAAAATCCTGAAAGAAGTCTGTGTTTCACCAAGAGATTCTAGCGTTCAAGTATGAGATATCCTGCATGTAGCGCTTATTCTGACATCAAGGTCCTTCCCAAGAAAATAAAATAAAATCACTACTGATAGGAAAGAATTCTTTAGGAAGAGGTCTGGATAATGCTAAACTCTAGTCCTATCACTAAGGCTTCTTTTTCTCTTCTCATTTTTTCACAATCAGGAATCACTTGGTTGGCAGTAATGAGATACATTACTTTTATTGTTGTTTTGTTTTTAAAAAAAGCTGATTATCTCACAGAAGACTC